GGGGGGGGGGTAGAAATCGACAAGGATTTCGGCAGAGGTTGCAGGAAAGACCGAGTAGGGTGAGGAAAGGATGTGACGCCCTAACTCCCTTCTATGTAGAGCTATGAGGCAATATCCTGAGACGACAATTGAGAGTTAGAAATCGAGTGTAGAAAAGGAAAGAATTTCATGTCCGTTCGAGATGATCAATTCGGGAAGACGATAGAGATCAAAGGAAAGAAAGCATCGCAAATTGGGAAGTCAATATAGTTGCGAGCAATGAAAGAAAGAAAATTTGGTTCTTACATACTACCCTCTTTAAAAGAATTTAGTCACCAAATTGACACCTTAGTGCTGGAAGAGCTGTGAGTACTTCGCGATCATCTCTTCTTCAATCTCCTAAGTTGCTTCCCATTTTGATCGGTTCTTTCAAAGCACTGACAAAATGAACTGATCGATGACAAAGCTATTGAACTTCACATTCTAAGATGTGATCTAACACTCATTATAACTCAAGTCTTCCTGAAACGTCAATAGCTCATAACGGATAATATGAGAGTCATCATGCACATAACGATGAAGTAGAGAGACACGAGAGAAATTGTGTACTCTTGCAAGACTTGGAGGAAGTGTCAAATAGTATGAAACTCTACTTACTTTCTCGATCACCGTGAAAGGACCAATGAGATAAAGTTGATGCTTTCCAGTATGGCCAAATCATATAACTCTGTCCATAGGTGAAACTTTTAGGAAAACATGATCTCCGATGTTGAATTCAATCTTTATGTGCTTTGAGTCGAAGTGCTTCTTTTGACGATCCTGGGCCGCACGTAGTTGATCTCAAATTTGACGTACCTTTTCTATAGCTTGATCTATTAGTTGAGATACAAATATCCGTCTCTCACCGTCTTTGAACCAACACAAGGGTGATTTGCACTTTCTGCCATATTATTTTTCATATGGCGCCATGCCGATACTAGCATAAAAGTCATTATTGTAAGCAAAATATACCAAAGGAATATAGTTTCCCAACTAACTCTAAAGTCGAAAATGCAAGCTCTAAACAAATCTTCTATGGTATGAATGGTGCGCTCCAACTGTTCATCTGTCTAAGGATAAAAAATAGTACTGATGTCTAATCTGGTGTCCATAACTTCTTGCATTTGCTTCAATATCCTGGAAGTAAATCATTCATCTCAATCCGATACGATGATAATTGGAATGATATGCAATTGAGTGATGCTAATTATGTAGGTTTTGGCTAATTTATTTACTCAATAGGTCTGTTTGATTGGTAGAAAATAAACTGACTTAGTTTATCGGCCAAAATCCAAATAGCACCATGCCTTTGCTTTAATCTCTGCAAACAAAGCATTACGTCCATGGAACTCTCCTCTCATTTCCACTCTGGAATGGGAATGGACTAAAATTGACCACCAGGTCTCTTATGTTCAGACTTAACAATTTGATAGGTCAAGCACTTAGCTACAAACTCAGTTACAGTGATTTTCATACCTGAATACCAAAATAGCTTCTTAAGGTCTTGATACATCTTTGTAATTTCTGGGTGAGTAGAATATGGAGTAGAATGTGTCTCATAGAGTATCTCTTGTCAAAATCTTTTCTAATCTTGAAGACACAGTGGATCCTAAAATCTCAAAGTTTCGTTTTGAGCAAGAGACCACTTTATTTGAGAGAAAATGTTGCCACCCATTATAAAAATAAGACATATACACGTAAAGGAGATGCTGGAATATACTTCAAGGAGATGCTGTAATTAATGTCTGCCCATCTCTATTGCAATTTTCCAATGATTGCTAAATTCAATTTAAACAGAGATTCTTCTCCTGTTGAAACTAAAAATAAATTTCTTTCTACTTTAAGAAGTTGAAGATAACTTTTTTGCAAGCATCTAAAAAACTCTTTCCTTCATGACATTCTCTTTTTTTTTATTCTCCTCTCCTCACTTTGTTGTTTTTGCTATGGATGATGAATTCATTGATTTTTTCCACTTTTATAGTTATATCAAGAGGTTTTAGTGTGAATGATTAAGTGCAAATAGAGCATAAATTAACAAGATACCATCCAGAAAGATCAAGTTAGTGGATCTTGAGAGTAAGTTTCAGCGGTATCGGAGAAGCCAAATCTTGTGCAAGATAATTGAGAGAATTTATAGTCCACACTTAACATAAAACTGAATCAATATTGTACCTCTATAAAAACTGGATAGGCGCACTAGAAAAATGTGTTTCTAATTGTTTTCTTAAGTTTTCAAAAATGCATTTAACGGAGTAATGAATAGTACTTTAATTGTCACTGGACAAATAAAGGCTAATGATGTTAAGGATATAGTAAATATTTACAGTAAGCTTTCTTATTGGTCATGCTTGCGTTTCTTGTAAATGTTTAAAAATGGGTTATTTTAATGCATATTATTCTGTATAATAATGCGAGATATAGTTTTGAGGTAGATGAATATTTTCATAATCAAACTTATAATGCAAAAACTAAAATATAGGGTCCTTTGACATCCTGTATCATTATCATTAACACCGAAACTTAAAACTTTATAGAGCATTAATAAAATTTTCTTGTGATTTGCATTGTACGGTACTATTTAGGATAAAATGTGAATTATTTAGATTCTAAACAGAGTACAAGAGTAGCGCATATTTGAAATTACTAATATGTATAAGGTGATTTGTATATTTTATGGGGGGAGTACCGTGTGCGTGAGTTTTCTAGAAAGAATCAATGTCAAAGGGAATATGATGAAAACTGTTTGAACTAGAATATCACTTCAGAACAAGTTGTGCTAAAATATCCTCGTAACAGTGTGTGCAACACTTAAAAATGACCACATCAAAGTATTCATGTAGTTGATCCCGACAATCTGGAATAGGACTTGTAATGATAATGATGCCCATTTTTTTTATTATTTGTGTTATTAAAATTATTAAATAGTGTGAACAATATTTTCTTTGAAATTCCTGTTTGAAAGATGGGCAATTTTTTAGTCGTTTGTACTCCCAAAATATGTGGTAGTTGATCCAATCTTTTTATTAAATTCCTTTTTCTTATTCCTAGAGAGTTCTTCAAAACAATAAACAAAAGTGGAAGCTTGCAAAAGCTACAATGAAAAACCTGCTTCATGATTGTGAAATTCTTCGGCATCAACTTCAAGGGTGCAGCGTTACTTTTCTTTCTACAGAGGAGGATCATTTTAGTGTCAATCCAGAATCATTATCTGATGCTTTAGAACTCCTGGCAACTTCTGATAACCGTCTAGGCCTCCTCATTGCAGAGGTAATATACTGGAAATTTTAGAATTATCTGTTCTGTGGCTCTATTATCTTATAGCATCTAGGTCTTGTTGTTGACTCAGGCATGATATATATATATATATATATATATCTATAGATAGATATAGATATATATATTAAAGAGCATATTTGGAATTAGAGATTAACTATTTATATTATCAGTTATTGATGTTATTTCTTCATTTTATTTTCAGATATACTGCAAGCATAGTGGAATGTACTTTTCTTATTGCCATCAAACAATCCATTGAATATTGGGGTATGGGTGGGAATCCTATTCAATGGCAATTCCTGTTTACGATTTAGTGACAGCATTTGGTTATTCTGGTTTTTTTCTTTTCAACAGGGTATTTGTGCGTTCCCTCCGTTTTAAGGATTTTTCTTAAGATGGTTATTATGTGTAGATCATGAAGTGAATTAAAGGTTGATTCAAAAAAAATGCAACTAAGTTTGCTCTTAGAAAAATGCATAAAAGTAATGCTTTCGGCATCATTCAATTTTAAAGTCATTAAGGCAATTACACCTTAAAAAATGATGTGATCAACAGAATCAATGTGAACTGTTTGATGGAGTACTTTTAGATCCTACTTGGATATAAGGAGTCAAGGAAGATACTTGATTAGTATGGTTCATAATTTTTTTTATTGCATTATTATATATCTATAGATAGATATAGATATATATATCTATAGATAGATATAGATATATATATCTATAGATAGATATAGATATATATATCTATAGATAGATATAGATATATATATCTATAGATAGATATAGATATATATATTAAAGAGCATATTTGGAATTAGAGATTAACTATTTATATTATCAGTTATTGATGTTATTTCTTCATTTTATTTTCAGATATACTGCAAGCATAGTGGAATGTACTTTTCTTATTGCCATCAAACAATCCATTGAATATTGGGGTATGGGTGGGAATCCTATTCAATGGCAATTCCTGTTTACGATTTAGTGACAGCATTTGGTTATTCTGGTTTTTTTCTTTTCAACAGGGTATTTGTGCGTTCCCTCCGTTTTAAGGATTTTTCTTAAGATGGTTATTATGTGTAGATCATGAAGTGAATTAAAGGTTGATTCAAAAAAAATGCAACTAAGTTTGCTCTTAGAAAAATGCATAAAAGTAATGCTTTCGGCATCATTCAATTTTAAAGTCATTAAGGCAATTACACCTTAAAAAATGATGTGATCAACAGAATCAATGTGAACTGTTTGATGGAGTACTTTTAGATCCTACTTGGATATAAGGAGTCAAGGAAGATACTTGATTAGTATGGTTCATAATTTTTTTTATTGCATTATTAAATCACCTGTTAAAAAAATGACTAGTTTGATGCCAAATTATTGATGAAAACATATTTTTATTTTTGTATTTTATGGCAAAAGAGATTTTCAAAATTTTTATAATTATATGAGAATCAAAACTATGAGCCATTTAAATGAAGTTACTTTTAGACATTTTGATTAAAATTGTGCAATGTGCGGTGTGCCTAGGTGCACCTCAGCACAATTGAGCCGGAAGATGCTATGAGGCGCACACCTTAAGTTCTCTAGGATTGGCATACACCTTATATTTGATGAAGTGCGCCTTTGCCTTAGATATATAGAACCCCCACTTCAATATTTAAGGATTTTTATTTTTTACTTGACCTAACCCACGCTTGCACCCACACCGCTCAACTTGTAATCCTTTGGCACGCATGATCTCCCCTCTCATCTCTCATGATGACATTGCAGACGGTCATGCCCAACATTGTAGGTTTTGTTGTTGTCGTTGATGTCTCCTGCTTCCGCCATGGTCATCCACATACTTCTGATTTTGCCACCGCACACACGATCTCCACTTGGACATGGTCTTTTATCAGACATACACCGATGCCTTCTGTTGCTTCTGTCGTCACTATGGCCTCCTGCTTTTGTAGCTCCCGCCCTCACCCATTTTGTCCTTCCTCATCTCTGCATCTTGCAAGCAATCTCCTTGTAAAATTTTTTTTTAAGAAACTAATAATATTGTTGTAGGTTTTGTACTAGGGTAAACTTATTTTTATTAATATTATCTTTGTTTATTAAATATTGTCATAGTTTATTAAGTTCCAAACTAAGATATTGAGTTACTTAGTTTAGAATTTTGTATAAGAATTAGTTTCTTAACTTTTTTACTTGTATTCCTAATTCCAAACTTGCATGTTATCTTTTAATTTAATTAATTTATTAAATATTATAATTAAATTATCAAACAAAAACAATTAATTTATTAGATTACAAATATTTATTAGATATTCACAAGACTTCTTACCCTTATAATTATATTTTTAAATTTTTAATTGAATATTTGCAATTAGTCATTTATTTTAACTTGAATGAAAATTTTAAATCAAAATTTTTGTAAGCAAATCTACAAGTTATGAGAAGGATTTCACGTGAAGAAATGATATGCAAATATTCTTTTGAGATAACAACAAGACGCTTAAAATGCAACTACTAAGGCAAGGTTGTTAAAGAGGGTGTTACATTGATGAAGAAGCACCTCTTTAGCTTGCAAAAGAATGTTGCATCACGTTTTAAAGTGTTGGAAATAATAAAACGGGAGATCCAGTTATATATGAATAAGTTGACAATTTTGAATTATCTTACACAACAATAATATGATGATAGAGTTGATGTTGACTCAACCTCATTATCTTTGTCATGAATATCTATCTAGTAGATCTGCAAGAGGTTCTGTGGACCATTTTATGATAAATGTGGGGGATGATAGAGATTATATAGAAGAGGTAGCTGCAACTCAGATAATATCTTCTGAGAATGTTAAAAAAGCACACAAATGTGTTTTCTTAGATATCAGGAGGTTTTTTTTATGAGATGCAATTTCATTTAATGTGGGAACCTTCATTTCTTATTTTAATATGATCTGTTTAATAAATGTTTAAAATGGAGGCTTGGAACCCTCGTTCATGTATAATTTAAGAATATAGGTCTTGAGGGAGGCGCCTAGTAATATAGATAAAGGTATAAAAGAGATTAAAAAAACTAGAGGTTAGATCGGAGAAACAATCATGTGTGATGGGTGGATTGGTATAAACAAATGAAGCTTGATAACTTTGTGATAAATAATAAAGAGGTTATTTTTGGAAATTTGTAGAAGCATCTAATCTTGTGAATTATGTATAGTATATTCTTAGACTACTTAATGCTATGATAGAGGAAATTGGAGTGTATTTCACGATCCATTTTGTGAGTGAAAATGCTAATGCTTATGGTACATATTAGAATAAATTGATCGAAAAGAGAAAACATTTCTTTTTTATTTCTTATGATGCACATTGCATAGACATAATTTTAGTAAAGCTCGGTGAGTTACCCCGACATAAAATGCTTTGAATAAAACTACGAAAATTAGTAATTTTATTTCCAACAATTCTTGTTTATTGTCTTTAATGAGAAAATTTTCCAAGAAAGATTTTTGTATGCCATACTATGATAAGATTTGCCACAATTAATTTGACCCAATAAAGCATATTGGAAGCTAGATAACCATGGGAGGTAATATTTATTTTCACTCGATGACTTAGTTGTGCATGGGCAAAGAACTCTGAGGGGAAAGAAGTCAAAAAAATTATTTTAAATAAATAGTTTGGATCTTGTTTCACACATGCAATAATAACTATAAGGCCATTGGTTCAAGTTTCGAAAATGGTGGATATAGAAAAAAGCCTGGCATGAGCTTTATTTAAAATGTAATAGATCATGACAATATACTCAGAGTTAATAGTCCATAATTAAGGAGATAAAACCATTTATAGAAAAATTTGGGATATCATTGACGAGAAATTGGGGCTTCAACTTCACCGCCATTTGTATGTTGTTGCATACTTTTTTATTCTCAATTTCAATATACTTAGAAAAGGTCTACCAGTTATGATATTAAGTTGGGGCTATACTATAGCATGTATAGATTGATTGCTGGCCCAACTGAAAGGGAAATTGTTGATATACATTTTATTCCTTTTAAAAATAAGAAAGATTTTCATCGGACTACAACAAGACAAAGATATAGTTGCAAAATATTCTTCAAATTATTATAAATACTTAATATACTTATTAAAATAAGGGATTATTCTTCAAAAACTAAATTACTAAATTCCAACTGTGTTGTTTTCTTTCAAACGTAATTGAATGGTAGATTCAATTTGGTGATGGCACTCTAGAGTTATAATATTTTACTTTTATGGTTTAAAAACTTTGTTCTTATCATTTGGATATGAGTTCAACGAAGCACATGTTATTTAGTTCAAACAGAAACGAGAAATCATTTGTCTATCTTAAGAGTGAACTTTTTGATGTACATCATATGTAATAAGAAATTGAATGATAATATATGTTTGACCTAAAGAATTAATTCATTGGTTTAAAGGATGACGAGGATCACCTAATATGTAAATATATGCCATCAAATGAGTGATTTGTAGATGATGATAATTAGGTTTTACAATCTGAATTATAATAGAAAAATTTGAATATTATTTTTTTATAGAGATAAGATCAATGCTAGTATAGCACACACAAGACAACAAGGGATGAATGGAAAATGTATTCATAAGAAATTTAGTATTTAAGGTTGTTTGAAACTTTAATTCATATGTTTTATTTTCTTATTGATAATTACTTGTTAGGGAAGAAAACGATAATTGAGATTAAAGAAGAGAATGAAGAATGGGAGAATTTGGATTCCAATACATACCACTTAAGTGATGTGGAGTGCTGAAGGCTCTTAATTATTTTTTATATTTTTATTATAGATCTATGAATATTATTGTATTGGATACCATTGGAAAAATTTATTATGCTAAACTAATCCTATGTTTTATTTCACTTTTTATATTTTATGTTTCTTCCATTTGTTGTCTTACGTTGCAGGGTGGATAACACTTTTTCTTTGCGCAATTTATTTCAATATTA